CAGGGCCAGCGAGGAGCCCACACAGTGGGAGGCACCTGGGGCGGGCGGGGCGGGATGGGATGTGCGAGGCTGGGGACCCGGGAAGTGCACACCCGCAGCCCTGCAGCCCTGGAAACCGACTTGGTGTCCTAACTCCCAGCAACGTAAAGCACTTTGGAAGTAATCACAGATTTAAAACTACTCCGTTCTTTCCAACAGTGAGGCATGGGCTATTGTGAAAGGTGCTGGGAAAGGTAGACATGGAGTAGTAACTTGGTTTACGTGGGAGAACAGTGCCGTCACAGGGAAGCAGGTAGGGTGAGACCTGGACGCTGGGCCTGTGGGAGGCTGCGGAGTGGGTATGGCGGGGTGGGAGCACCCGGAGGAAGCTGCAGGCATTAGATCTAAGGCTTGCTGACAGTGTAGGCTGTTTCACCCATAGGGTTTGATTCTAGGAAACCTGTGCCTTGCACTGAGAAGGGTTGAGTGACTACCAAGTATTTCAAGCAGGAAAAATGCAGATAGCTCATTCTTAAGGTTTTCTTCTGCTCGGGTCCCACAGGTTAATTAAACATGCTTGGACACACCCAAAACCCCAGGGTCTGGAGAGGGCGAGGGTTTGGCCATAGTAATCAATAGCGGAGGCTGGGGACGGGGGACTTCTCCGCTTCCCGTGTTCTTCGGTCTGCCCTAGATGCAGTGTTTGCTTAGCAATTCTGGCGTCGTTCTGTTGGCTTGCTGTGCGGACCCTGTTTAGAGTGCACCGGCTGATCAAGGCTACTCTGAGGCTGGGCCTAGTAATCAAAATGTCAAGGCTGAGATACCATACACAGGTCCAAGGACTATGTGCAGGTGCACAGCAAGCACAACTCTCAGGGTCACTGCACTAATATAACCCAAATGATTGATGTCATTGTTGGCAACTGGCCTTCCTCTAAGGCAGTGATGGCGAACCCATGACACACGTATCAGAGATGACACACGAACTCATTTTTTTGATTAATTTTTCTTCGTTAAGTGGCATTTAAATATGTAAAATAAGTATCAAAAATGTGTTTTACTATGATTGCAAATATCAAAAAATTTCTATATGACACAGCACCAGAGTTTTAGGGTTTTTCAAAATGCTGACACGCAGAGCTCCAAAGGTTCGCCATCACTGCTCTAAGGAGTACAATACATGTCATTGACCAGCCAGTGTGCTAGGTCAGGCACAGGGGATGTAGCTCCAGAGAGAAGCCAGAGAGAGAAGCTGCTGAGGCAGACAGCTCAGAGGCTGAGTCTAGAGACAGCATGCGGCTGCTCCACTAATAGCTGTAGGTGCAGAGGCTGCTAGAGGTGCTACTGCTTTGTGGGAAAGCGGTATCAGCCGCTGTGCAGCTACCTGTACAGGACTTACTACGAAGGACTGTTTCATCTGATGGCTATATGGCCACTAGCTCCTACAATAGACTCACTCTTATACACTCACGACTCCTCATGGCTTCTCCGTCTGAGACCCAGCAGAGGGGCTCACACCCCACACCTGTAACTAGTGAGAAGATAAAGGAGGAACTTGGACTAGAGTTCCTAACAGTTAGTGTAGCAAATAGGGTTCAAGAAGGGACCTACTTGGGTATATTTGGGAAGAATTTTAGAATAAATGGACCCAGAGACCCAGAGCTCTGGATGTTTCTGATACTTGCTAACCCTGGACCTCTAGTGGATGGGTCCCTGGGGGCAGGAAGTTCTAGACTGCTCCAGTCTTTACTGTGCTCATGTGTAAAGGCACCCCTTTCTAAAGAGACAGAGGCCCACCAAACTTTGGTCTTATATTTACCATAGCTCATTTAAAAGGATTCTTCAGTATACCAATGAAGAGAGACTGCATTAACTTTAAATTATTTCCCAAGCAGCTAAAAGGCAATTTACAATCACAGAATACATATGGAATGGAGGTTGTGGTGTTTAAGGGTGCTTTTGAACTTTCAAAAACGCTGTGATATTTTATAGGAAACAACCCCACCTGGCAAATGGAAAGGGAGAAACAGGGCTAAGTGGTTTCTCCCAAGGCCACTAGACGTGGCCGTTCTTAGGTAAGTGGAAGCAGCCCAGAGTATTGAGTTGGACTTACTTTTGTTCAAGTGGAGATTCTAGACAATTCTGTGAACTAGACTAATAATAGAGCTATAAAATCTACTTTAGTAAATTTATCCCTAGGTCTTGGTTTCCTCATTAGTAAATTAAATGGTACCCTCATCAACAAGCTATTTTAAACCCATTTAAAGTAAATTTATTTGCTCAGGACTAAAATTGTAAAACTGAAACCATCCAACCTCTACTGATGAATTAATCTTAAAATAAAATTCAAATAACTTCAGTGATAAATGCAACATACAAACTTTATTAAACAAAAGTAACAGGTAAAGTCAAACAGGCACTTATATTTAAGAGAAAAAGTAACTAGAAGAAGAAATTTTATCTTAAACACCTTACAGTAACCTACTTGTAGTTGCATTTAACTGAGCTCTGTTGCTGTGAAGAATACAGCTCATGCACAGGTATGGATGAATGATTTGTACATTTTTCAAGTATTCACTGAATACTACTTATATACACATATACATTAAATTTGAAAAAGATTTAATTGACGATCCCCAGATATCTTCATTTTTGTTGATCTTTTGGAAGAGGTCGTCTAAAGAGAAGAATATGTGGCTCTGTGGAAAGAGAATGTTTTATATCATTTTAATATAACATGGTTAATTTTCACTCAGAATTCAAAGAATTCTCAACTGAACCAAAATAAAGTAAAATAAAGCTATGGTCAATTAATGTTATTTATTGAGGTAGCTAAAATGAATTTTGCTTCAAAGTCACTGTCCAACAGTAAACAGAAGAAAACCTGACAATGAGACTATTTCCCCAGTGTTTACTCATCTTGGAGAAAAGGGATGGTCAATAGGGAAACTACTTTGAAAGAATGGTTTTTACCTTTGGACTCTCAATTACAGTGAAAAATAAAGAGAAAAGTTATCTGTGGGGCTAAGACACCTAACAGCTCATTCAAAAACCACCAGCTTATAAATCTGCATGTCTCGGGGATCCAGGTAAGTTCCTCGATTGCTTTTGCATTATCTGGAGAAACACCTCTTGAACTCTAATATGATTACATGCCCTAATCCCAAGAAAGTTGTGTATCTTAAGTTTTTTTCTTAAAGTTTTATGTGGTTGTAAGTTTTTGACGCTGCTGCTTTTCTTTAATAAAAGTGGAAAACAAGATAGCTTTAGTTGCAGTTCTGCAGCATGTCTTCGTATTCTGTTGAAAGCATTATAAATCCTTTAAGTTAGATTTATTGATAACCCATAAATAGAATATAACCCCACAAAGGTTTAGTTTAGTACAGTGGTTCCCAATCTTTTTTTTGCCATGCCCCACCTAAGCATGTTTAAAATCCTGATCTCTCCCCCCCTCACATGACATATACTTCTTATTATTCAAAAAATGAACTATTCACATTAGGAAGCCTAAAAGGCCATTAACTTGGTCTAAACAAGCTTCCAACCAAAGAACATGGCATCCATGAAAGAGAAAAAAGAACAAACAGTTGAAGTAGAGGAAGAAATCACTAAGAAATTGTTTAAAAAAACTAATATGAAGTGATATGAAAAAATAGCAAATAAAGTTTCAAAACATATAATAGAGAATTGAAATGCATAAATATGCCACTATATATTTATATACTGTATATGAGGCCCCTAGAACCATAAGGAATGCAAAAAATTCACTGTTAATAACTCATTCTCAAATTGCCTCCCTTAAAAATTCAATTGCC